GAGAACTGGGTGAGAATGTAGATTCAGGTGTGTGAGGTCATTCTTCAATGTGTTACACTGTAGCCTTTTCAAGCTAAGAGTGCTGTCATACCTCGACGTCACCTCACGTGTTTGTTGTGACTTCCTCTTGGCCCAGTGTCATAAGAACATGACTCGTCATTCCTTCAGTCAAAGACCTGAGGGCAAACACTGCACGGCCACATTTACAGGAAGCCCAGATAGTGCAGATCAGTGCAGCTTTGACAAACACTCCTAGTCCAAAACTCTTTCCAGTTTATAAGTAACATCATGGATCCAGACTGTGACCCACACGACTGCTGTCAAAGTAAAGACAAACGATAAAGACAAACGGATAGAAACCTGTTGAGTTGTATGTGAATTGGATAAGGACACTAACTGTTCCTACGGTGAGCAGGACTGTACACGTCATCTGTCAGTGCTCATCCTGTAACACCTCACACATTGGCTATGGTCGATACAATTCAGTTGGCTCAGTGTCAGTAGCTGACTCAGTGAAGATTTTATACTGTACCTGAAAATCATTATATTTACACCTAATACTGCCTGATGGGAAGAAAATATAAAATAATATAATAGAGTTAAATGTGTCCAAAAACAAACAAAACATGTTTAATGGTTTGACGTATGCAGAGATTTTATTAACCAAGATTCACGTGTGTCAGCCCTGAGATGGACTGGCCAACTGACTAGGGTGTTCCCTGCCCTCGTCACTGACTGGTGAGATTGGCTCCAGCCAATGAAAAGGATTACAATGTAGGAGATGAATAAATGAGTCATCTTGTCCTCTGCAGGTGCTAGAAGCACAATTTATACATCCTGATCTCTAAAATGAAGAATGAGAATGACTTCTCCATGTCTAATTATTTTAATAATAACTTAACAAAGAAGTCTTCAGACATTGATATTAATATATAATTATATAATTGTAGGCCAGTTGTATATAAACGTGTGATTATGTTTGAATAGCATGGCTTCTATCACTGTGACCTGGTGAACATAGAGAACCACTCCATAAAAGTAGGTATATTTTTTCATTCCAGTTAATATCAGCATTAATAAAGGCTAATCATAGGTTTAGATAATTAGGAAATCCACCGTGTTGTGATCGTTCAATATGTTGAAAAGAAAAACACGGACTTTTAGCAATAGTTTGGACAGAACGGATAAATTTAGCAACTTATGTCTTCATCCTGCTTTGCGTGACCTGTTGGTCAGATAACCATCAGTACCCAAATGAGTTCAGGTCAGGCCCTGTGCCTCGGTCCAGATCTCATTTGGTATGCAAATGGAAGGGCCTAAACAAGGCAACCACCACAGACCCAACGATTTACCAACTGTGAAGAGGGCAGAGGCTGAGCTTCATTTAGGCTAAAAATTAACTGCAAAAAAGCAAATGTAGGCTATATTTAATATTGAATGTAATATTACATTTTTGTGTTTGTGTAAGGAGGACAGAAGAAACTGTCACTGTGAAAATTTTTTCTAATGTAAAACTAGAAAGTTCCTCCATTAATTAACTTAATCAGAACATTATCTCCAGAGCAGTTTACGTTGATGCTTAACAAGAAATAGTATTCACAATTTTTTGAAAGTTAAAGGAAAAGATGTTTAGATTGGGCGTCAAATATATTGTAGTTTAACGATTTAAGACAAATAACTAACAGAATTGTGTGTATTTTGTGACTAAAAACCTCAGAAACTCTCGTCCATTTTTGCCAGTGTAGTCGTGCTGCACCGTGTGCCACGCCCCTGCTGAAACAGGATACAGCTCCAGCATTGTGCTCATTGTTGAAAGACTAATCCCGACAATTACACCTCAAGACCGAGAGTCGCTGCCTTACCCAGTATCCACCCAAAGTCCTGTCCAGGGCTGGGACTGTTGCCCCTCAGGGTCCAGAAGCCCCACTAACCCCCTGGTTGCTACCCTCCCCTCCCCCTTCCTACACTGCCTGACCTCAAACTGTTGGTGTATCTTTCCTAAGTTTTACTCACCCGCACTTGTTCACCTGTCGCTCTGCCTGTAACTCTGTCTGACTATTGTCAGTGCACAAAAAGGTGTGTGAACACAAAGAGAGGGATGGTATTAAAGAGAGGGCAGGTATTTCAGGTTATAGTCGAGAAGCAGGTAAAGGTTCATTCAACTGATAATAACCTACAGACACATGTTTTATTTCACCAAGTTTTTTTTTTTGTCATTTTGGGCTTGATGATTTATGTTCTCTTCTTTGACAGAGTGGTGTGTTTGACGTTCGAGGATGATGGAGGTTTACCTGTTGTCTGAGTAGTAAAAGGAACAGACAAGGTTGTTCCCACAGAAGCCTGGGTTGACATCATAAAAAAAAAACACACAACAAGGTACCTTGGGGCCGACAAGGAGGTGGAGGTAAGTGGACCGTTGGGGTGGGAGTCGTGGTGGGAGGGCTTTGAGGCTTTGGGTTTGGTCTTCACTGCCATTGGCTGAAGACAGAGCGGGGGACACACCTGTGAGTGCCAGAGGCTAAGGACATTGGTTGCCACCTGAAAATTACACCTGTGGGGGAAAATGGGAGGAGGAGGCAGAGGAGGGGGGTCAGGGTACATGTAAACCAAGCCCTTTACAAATTCAGCCTCTGTCTTCTTGAGGAGCTTAACTGACTAACACCGCCGCCAAGAGCAGATGGAAAAAAACAAGTTCTGCCCAGACAACAGGAAGATAGCTGACGCCATAGAAAACTGGTTAGTTCTGTTCCGGGGTTTGTCTACGGCTGCACGCACCTGAAAGGGACGGCTTTTCCTCTGCTGCCCGCCACTCCAGAGGTCGACTGTCCTTCA